CTGTCCAGATTCTCAGTCGTCCGTAAACAGTAATCCTGTCACGTAAACAGGTTTATTACAAAGAATCCAGTTTGTTAAATCTCACAGTTTTGTTAATAATGTAATCATCGTGTGAATATAAATGCATCACTGAATGCAACTTTGTGAACGAAACGTTCAGTACAAAACTGTGAACGCCTCATTATTTTTAACAAAGACAACAGCTACAGTTCCAATGAGGTGATGACATGCCATCAGCATCCAAAGTGGAATTGCTTGGTGTGCGTCATTACCAACAGAAACAACATGGTCACCAGGCTGTTTGTATTTCCAGAGACATAAACTTCAGAGGGGGAGTCCGGTGCCCTGGGTGGCACATTTATTCACATTTCAGGTGCTTCATATTGAAGCATTTGGACCTCGAGCACATTCGTTTCCTTTTGGGAGAGATCGGTGTGGGAGCTACATGATGAAGCTGTGAATGAGTTTCCGCGGGGGGTGCACTTCTTTTAAAAAGGGGGCTGAGGCTTCATTTAAAACAACACATATCTGCTCAAACAGTTTGTTGTGGTGGACATTTTAAACTGGTGGAGGGGGAAAGAGTAAAATTCAAAAGACAAATGAATGGTTCAGAATAAAAATGATGTTGAATTCATGACTCAGGTGTGCACACTGCCCAGCATGCATTGCATGTTTGCAAGAACAAGCATTGATTGGAGTTGACTGCAGGAATGAGTCCTGAAACCGTGAAATGAGTCATCATTTTTGCACTTCCAGTTCCCTCGTCATGAAGTCAATGTGTTATTGTTTAGACGTCTGAAATCAGGTCTGTGTTTAACACGAGCTTTAAAGAGATTTTAATGTTTTGTTCTCTGATATAAAATAGGTCAGTGAACGCCCCTCTGGTGAATTTAAAAGCTTTGAGTTGTCTTAATGAGACGACGAAATGTCCTCACTAGAACACTCGTCCTCCTTCAGCTCAGTGGTGGAGACGTGAATCACGTGACCGTGGTGGAGTTCATTTATAGACTAACGTTAGCTTTTTACTTTACACTTCAAACATCATAAAAGAGGAGTTCATTAGTGAAGATTATCTTGATGCACAAAACCTGTAATAATCATAAACGTTTGTTTGCTACAGAGATTATTTTCTGCAATAATCAGAAAGCCATCGGATTTCTGTCTCTAGAACCACTGTGAGGCTTACTTCCTGTTGGCTACAACAATATGTCATCCCTGCAGAACTCTACTCAGAAACTTTATTGTTTCTGTATTCTAAACTACTCCAGCTTTGAGCAGAAAAGTACGATAAGAACACAATCTTTCCATTATTATGATGAACTCACCTCATGCTCACATATCGCAATCGTTGCTGAAAATGCTATCTCCTTATTCACATTAATCGGTCCACACTAAGGAGTACAGGGACGGTCAAACGGCTTCACGATTAATCGTGAAATAGTATTTGTGGAATCTACAGATGAGGAAGAGAGCGTTTACCATTTCATCTTTAAATCTCGTGCCATGCCTCCAGTGGCCTCCAGTGTGATGTATTGTGCTACATAATCAGTACGCACACTGCTGAGTCCATCGCCGCCACTCAGACGCTGCTTTGCGGGCAGACAGCTAAGATCTGCAGCTTTCTAGTTATGAGTGTGTATATATATATATATATATATATATATATATATATATATATATATATATATACAGATTTCATTACTGTTTGTTATTTCTTTCCACTGTCATCTTTCACTAAATATTGTCTTATTTGTGTCCTTGGGTGACTTCAAAGGCTCTTATAATTAAAATGTATTACTATTATTAATTCTGTTAAGAGGTAATAACGTCTGATCTTTAAACCTTTGTTGCAAAATGGAAAATCAATTAACTACCAGCTCTGCCAAAGAAGAATCTAAATGTGATTTTTAGGTTATTTTTCGTCCTCACTCTACTCCTCCAAATTGTCACCGTGTTGATGCTGTTTGGCAAACAGCCGATGGGGTTCTTCAGTCTTTGTGTTTCCGTTGAAAGGGTTACCACTTGTGTTTCCTGTTGACTTGTCTCACTGCTTACTCGAGATAATTGCCTGTGAGTGGCCGGGCATTGAGAGAGGGCTACTCTGAATGCCCCAGAGTCCCACACTGCTATCTCTCAATGCATTGTTCACAGACAATGATGGCTTCACTGTTTCTCTCCACAGCACAGTATGTGTGCACATGAGCCCTTCATCCTCAAACTTGCAAACTTTTCCCATAATTACATTTTATGAAAGTGGGAATGATCCGTCTCTTGTTTGATGGCCACAATCAACTATCCATTACGGTCCTTGTAATAATCATTAATTAACAGTTAACAAGACCATTATCAGTCCTTATAAAATGCTTATTAACATTATTATGTTTTAATAATAGCATTGTAAACACATTTATTGTTAGATTATAAGACATTTATTACTTTATTTAGTTTTAATTGATTTATTTATAAAATAACAAGTTCCAGTCTCATTACCTTCGCTGACTGAAGATGAACTGGTGTGTTAAATAATTCATTGCCTCTTGTCTTTGGATTTTGCTGACGACACCACTGTGGTGGGACTCATCTCCAACAACAACGAGACACACTACAGACAGGAGGTCCAACATCTGGCTGAGTGGTGCTCGGACAACAACCTGGTCCTGAACACCACCAAGACTAAAGAAGTCATAGTGGACTTCAGGAGATCCAGGAAGACCACACCCTCTCCACTCTACATAAGTGGGGAGGAGGTGGAGAGGGTGGACAGCATCAAATGCCTGGGGCTCCACATCACTAAAGACCTCACTTGGTCCCTGAACACATCCCACCTGGTGAAGAAAGCCCAGCAGAGGCTCTTCTTTCTGAGGAAGCTTAAAGAAGCTGGCCTGCCCCCCGGACTTCTGGTTAACTTCTACAGAAGCGTGATTGAAAGCATCCTGTGTATGTGCTTTACTGTGTGGTGTGCCAGCTGCACAGCAGAGAACAGGAGGGACCCGGCCCGTGTGGGTAGAACAGCACAGAGGATTGTGGGAGTTACCCTGCCTGACCTGGACACTGTGTATGCTGGCCGCCTCCAGAAGAAGGCCAGACAAAACCCGGACTAACAGGCTGAGGAACAGCTTCTTCCCCAGAGCGGTTTCCTCCATCACCCCCCCACCGCCACCCTCCACCCCACCCAGCTCACACCGGACAGTGCTGAAACAAACATAGTCAATAACACGACACTGTAACCAAGCACATGTTTCACTTTGAAGCCATTGATGCCTGTGCTTTATCTTGTTTTATCTTGTATATATTTATTTAATGTCTTGTTTTTTTAAATCGTCTTGTCTTAATGTTTTTATACACTTTTTAACTGTTGCTGCTGTACTGATGAGTCGCCAACTCAATTTCGTTGTGTGTTCGTACGATGACAATAAACATCCTTATCCTTATCCTTATTCAAAAGGGATTTTCCCGATTCGACACAAACTGATGAACTGGACCTGATGTTTCTCCGTTCATCAGAAGGACTTCTCCAGCCTCTAATGACAGGCAGGACATCCTCAGCATGAATCCTGAAGGGACGCCAGACCTCGTAGTGGAGGACATAATTGAGGCCACCTGTTCAGAAGGCAACTAAACGGAGAGAAAGAGCAGCTTCCTACAGCAGTGATGTTGAGCATCCTTTTCCGGTTCATAACACACAAAGTGTTTCGTGTAATCCTGTTTGTTTAGAATATATAGAAGAAAGCATGTAGGCAGCATAGATGAACAGAAAAAAGAGCTCCACCTGCATCAGCTCAAACTGATAAAAACACCTATTTGCTGGGGTGACGCCTTTGCGTTTTAATTTCACAAAGCTTTAACCTGTTGCTAACAGCGAACACAAGAGGGCGCTGCGTCATCTGCTCACTGCAGTTGTGTCTGTGAACGGGTGGAACGTGATGGCAGAGCTGCTGCAGGGGTTAGAGCTCTGGGTCTGCAAGGAGAGCCTCTCCTGAGAGACGGTGAGCCTCTTTGTTACGCAATGTGAGTAACAAGACAAGTGTTGAACACTTGCTAGTGTGTAGGGGGGGGGGGACATATTGTGAATATGAATAAAGTACATTTTAAGTTGCAAATGGCAGCATTAGAAAACAGTGTACAGATTTGAAAGACAGCGGGTCCAGTAATCTTTGTAATTCTTGTGGATCTAGAGACACTGATGTTCGTCGAGAGGACAGGTGTAATTTTACATAAAAGGTCTCACCTGCATGTGCCGCTTTAACAAAACATCACTGTGTCAGGGTTGATTACAACGGTCTCAATGTCACCCTGCTCTGTGCACGCTCTGTGAGGATATTAAACCAGTGTGAAAAGCGTTGCAGATTTCCACCGACACCCACAAAGTGGCAACAGATGGAGAGCAGCTAAGAAACGTACGATAACATCAGGGCGCGTAAATGCACGTGGAAAAAAGGTCGGTGCATTTAAACAGACGTGTGTGCACCAATGAAAGGAGGTATGAAGCGTGTTCATTAGAGTATGAAGTGAGTGGAAAAAAAGAAAAATGAGGGCGTGATGGCAGAGAAGTAAAGGGGGCAGGCAGGGGCGGCTTAGCCCTTTTGGAGCCCGAGAGGGGGATTTTGCCTCGAGTGGCCTCGTTTACACTGACATCTACTACAACATTTTTTTGCATAAAAATGTAAGGAATCTAAACTCAAATCCTTCATTTGCATGTTTGCAGTTGAAAAGTTCTCAGTTACAAAAAAACAAGACATCCTGGATGAAGAATCACAATTCATTCACCAGAGGTAAACACAACACGCACGCATGAGTCCGTCACGACGAATCCTCCCTCCCACCGACAGATGGATGGGGTTAATATCATAATTAAGCACCTTCGGGCCGACGGGTTCCTGTTTACCGCTCGGTTGCTAGGCAGTGACATCAGCTGATCCCTCCCTCCGTCCTCTCTAATCCCTCTCCCTCCCTCTCCCTCCCTCTCTCTCTCTCTCAGATAGGCAGCGCAGACGTGGGCAGAGTGTGGGGGTATAGGAAGAGGAGAGAGCGGGAGGGTAGGTAGTAGTGTGTGAGGCTGTCAGACAGCATGGTCTGGGTCTGAGGACAGCACTGGAAGACGCAGCAGCAGCAGCAGCCTCCAGATCTCCATGTAGACCGGTGTGGTGACGTCCACAGATCACCTGGACCTGTCCGCCCGTCAGCACCCGCACAGGTCAACACCGGAGAAGCAACAGGAAGGAGGAGGAGGGGGGGTGGGTCTGGGTTTTTTTCCCAGTTTTTTGGGGGTTTGTGGAGTAGGCTCCGGGCTGGACCGCATGCATGACACAACGCAAAGGCGAGAAACCCACCATCAGCATCCAGGAGCACATGGCCATTGACGTGTGCCCTGGCCCCATCCAGCCCATCAAGCAGATCTCAGACTACTTCCCCCGTTACCCGCGGGGCCTCCCCCCAACTGCGCCCCACCAGGCGGGCCACGCCGGGCCCCTGAGCCCTGCCCTCTCCACCTCCACCTCGGCCACCGCCTCTGCCACCGCCGCCACAGAAAGTGACCGCCCCAATGAGGATAAACCGGACCGGGCTTGTGCCGGAGCCTCCGCCTCCTTACAGGCCACCAAGAGGGACGAGGAGCCCGACGTGGAGGGATACGACTCGGATGACTCCAGTGAGTGACGGTTACCCCTTCCAGTCGTCTCCATCCTCCTGTTGACTACGGTGCTTTCCAACATGTCTTCGTGTGTGTGTGTGTGTGTGTGTGTCTATCCCTTTTAGTTCTACCTCTCCCTTTCTTTTATTACTGCATCTCCATTTTTTTTGCCACCGGTTGCCAGGCATCCCTCCAGCCGTGTGGCTTTGTGGCTTCTCTCTGCTCCACCGTCCATCTCTTTCTATCTCCCAAAAACCCGCTGTGTGTGTGTGTGTGTGTGTTGTGTGTCTTTGTGCTGCAGCTAACTCTTTCCCTCTCAGTCTAACACACAGCCAACTGTTGCTGCTGTAAAGAATACAGCTCCCCCTTTCCTCCTCCTCCTCCTCCTCTCGCCTCCAACTGAAAAGATGATGTGTGCCGTTTTATTGGAGCAAATGACTACATGCCTGTGTCAACCTGTGTGCATGTGTGCATTTCTTCATATCCCCCAGTGTGCTCGGTGTGTACTGTCGATCGGACTGAATGATTCATGGCTTCTTGGTGAAGCTTCACATTAGTCGCAGTTTTGCGCTCAGCTGAGAGCGACCGCATCCGTGAGCTCATGTTTCGGCTGGTGGCAAGACGGGCAAGTTCAAATCGGGGGAGCACATCGTTTTGTCTGTCGGTCTGGTTTTTTTGTGTGTTGCTTTCCAAAGCATGAAGATGTGTGTGTGTGTGTGTGTGTGTGTGTTCATATCTGTCTCCGTCAGAGGGGGAGGCTGCTCTGCTGAATGTCATTCCTTTAATCCAACAGGTTTGAGTGGATGAATAATAATGGAAATTAATAGCACGCAGCACAGCTATGGGAGCAATAACAATTCAGAGAGACAGAACAAGATTTTCCACATCTTTCAAAACCATTTCAGCTCCCAGCAAACATCTGATGATACGACTGTCTGCACCAGTGCGGAGGACTTGGGTAAATTAAAGCTGCTGCTGCCACCTGCATCATTTTCATACGAACCTTTAACATCTGACTGATGAAGCGCTGAAACAGAGAAGGAATCTCTGCCTCGGCATTCGGTTGAGTCTGAACGTGTCCGAGTGTAACGTGTTGCTCTCGCCGTGCACAAAAACAAACAAGTGCTTCACGTTGTGTTTGTATCCGGCAACCCTTTTCTAGGGGTTTGTCCCTGTTGCTCTCTGCACGAGAGTCTTGTGATTGCAGGTTAATGTGTGGCAGCAGTGCAGCTTCTCTTAGAGTTAATCCATGCAGAGCAGCATGCACGGGGGGGCTTAGGCCATCTCTAATCCAGAACTGGACAGGAAAGGGGGGGGATGGTAGGGAGCAGAGGCAGGTCGGGCCTGGCAGATGTTGCTCTATAACCTTCAACAGGCAACCAGGACTTCACCGAGAGGCATTCTCCTAATTTGTGCGAGCGGTGCTTGACTTCTGCAGTCAGATATGAGCTTTCAGGGTGTTTGCTCGTTGGCTTTGGGCAATCGCAACACTGTGATTCCGAATGCCTTTGTTGGTGCAATGTGAAGTGTGTGGGAATTTATATAATCAACTGGAAAGTGACACTTCTGGGTCCCTCTCAGACTAATAGCATTCTGCTAAATCCAAAGCCACGAACGGCAGCCATTTCTTTTTTGTCGCTTTTCAAACTCACGAGGGAGTTGCTGTGCATTTCATACACGCTCGATTACTCTGAGCTAAGTATGAAGGAATCCATCTTGGTGTTGCAGTGCTACATGGAAACCCGGGACACACTCTAGTCCAAGAGGTGAGATGGAGAAACCACGAGCTGCTCTCTACCTGTTGCTCTAATGTGCATGCAGTAGATCAAATTCAATATTGTCTGCAGCTGTGACTCAGGAGGTAGAGAGCGGCTCGTCCATTAGTTGATAATCATTGAGCCGGAGGAGGGGGTAGTACTCAAGAGACAGAACTCTGAATTTCCAAGATTACAGCAGCAAATATACAAGAAAAATACTCACAAATTCGTAAGATTACAAAGTAACAAATGTACAAAAAAATCGGAGTTATATGGCGTATTAGGCCATTGAGGTTTAACAGCTGGGGGAGGGGAGTAATATTCTGAGAAAAAAACTCTAGATTAAAGTCTCAAATCTACAAGAAAGAAAAGTAACACATTTACAAAAAAACTCAGAAAAAGTCATACATTTACAAGAAAAGCATTCTAATATTAACAACAGTAGCTGCCTTTGAGTGCAGCCATTCAAAACAGGCACAGACATTTTTGCCTTTAGACGTGGTGGGACGACACAGAAACCCAGAGTGAAGCATCCTGCGGTCTTTAACATCACGCACACAACGTGAAAACAGTTTTAAAACATCTGGATAGAACACATCTTCTATTTCAATCTACTGATAACCGTACAGCTGTCTAATCAGCTGCATCACATGATGTCTAACTGTGGTTGGCTATGTGCGACAGGTGTTGGGATGCTGTGGCATACAGTTACTGTAACTTTATCATATTGGTGTTGGTGCACAGTTACTAACTTACTTGTTTTCAGTTTATACAAACATCAAAACGTCCCAGCTCCTCTCTATCCTCCCCGTTAATAAGGCAATTAGACACAAACATCTGCCGGAGCATCATCTTAATGCTTTTACAATCACGTAAAGAGTCACCGGATGATTGCAACGTCAACTCCCCCCCCCCCCCCAAAAAACAAAATGAGGACAAAAGAGGAAGGAGCGTCTTAGTAACCAAGGTAGCAATCAATTGTAAATATCGGTGTCTGACTCATCTGCATGCTTATCACCTCCAGCTGATGTGACTAATGAAAGCAGGCACTAAAATAGATAAATAAGTAAATAACAAGTGGCTGTTTGGGTCTGATGCAACGCCCCAAATAATCCCAAGCTGCTGCTGCCGCCGAGGGAGTTTGAGAGGAGAAACATGAGGCGTATCAACAGAATACTGCAGCAGCAGTCTGCTTTAAGGAACGGCACCACAGACGCAGTTCTTTAGACCTGCTGCACATTGTGTAGCAGAAGTCACAGCAAGGCACTTTAACACTACAGGTGGCTCAGCATCGGTCACATTCACTTCTCCAGACTCGTTATTCTGCACATGAAGCTCAACAGTTACTCAGAGAGAGACGTATGCTTTTGTGTCTGTATGCGTTTTGGATTGAGGATAAATGACTTGTTTAAAGAAAAGCTTCCACTGTTGCTCTTCATTTGCTTGTTAAAAAAAAAAAGAAAAGGAAAATAATTTCAATTTGATAAATACCCGACGGACAGATGAGCCCTGGAATATGCAGCAAGCGTCCCAGACTCCCACTGTGAAAGGATTCCTCTCTCTTTCAGATTCAAGCTGTGTTGGAATACTTGCCGAAGGACAGCTGAAACCAAGGCTATGTGATGAAAGCCCGAACCAAAAGCCGGGAACACATGGTATCAGTTCTGCAGACGTAACAGTTCCTGCTGGCAACAAGCGTATGAGAATAACAGCAAATTGGAACTGAGTTTATAACCACTTTACTCGTCTTATCAGCTTTGTTTGTGTATGTTCCCAACTGCATCTCATCTTGGTGGGTCAGTAAAGTTCAAACACACTTGTCGTGAGGCTGAACGGATCATTCCTCGGCCTCTTACAGACAAAGTCACAAACTAATTTCTCCCTCCCCGGCGGTGCAACGAGCGGCGCTGTGATCTGAATGGGAGAAAAGCAGCTCCAGTTTGAACCCGTTTGATTTGACTTTCAGAAAGTGTAACTTTCTCCCCGGTTGGTGCGTTAAATGTAAGAGGAAAGGAGCTCTCTTCTTCCTGTTGTTTGTGATTTAAAAGAGCCAGCGCTGCCCCAAATTGGCTCTTTACCGGTCCTGCGGGACTTGATCCAGTATCTGCATGCTTCCTCTTGGGGCTGGGGGGGAGGGGGCGTGGGAGGGTGGAGCAGTGTGGGAGGGTGGAATGGTGTTCTCCCTCATGTACCAAATCACACAGGGATGTCTCAATCCTCGCTAAGAACCTGCCGGCTAATCTGCATAGCAGCAGCATTTTATGATTCATTGTGACTCAACCTTGATTTTAATTGAAACAGAAAAGTGCATCACCCACCAAGTGTCCCGGCTCCCCTGCGAAGGGTGTGTGTGTGGGTGGGGTGGAGGGATCGAAACCAATTGGACATCCGGATCTCTGCCACATCAGTTAATGGCTGGTTTGTAGTGGGTGTGGAGGGCCACGGGAGGAATGACCGGTGTGACCCACATGACGGAGCAGGCTCTTGTGTTTCTGAGAGATAAGCCTCAGAGACATGTGTGTTCACGGGACGGAGGGGGTTTGGTGGGTAGTGTGGGGGGGGGGTTGTTTGGTAATGTATGCCCATGCAGGTCTCCCCTGAGATGTCTCGCTCTGGCAGTATACTGCTATCTCCTCAGCACAAGACTTCAGCTGCAGTGTTTGCTTATAGTTGCAGGGAGAGCAGAAGGGAACGGAGGAGACGGGTCCAGCAGAACTAAAGTCACTAAAATCAACAAAACTACATTTCAGATGTAGTTGTTATTTCCCTGTTTTTTAATTATTAAATGAGTATGTTTACATGCATACTAATAATCCACTACTCCTCCGGATTTGATACGCTTCATGTAAACAGCATATTCTGTTTGGATATTCCCAGATAAACCTAATCCGATTGGAGCACTTTCCGATTTAAAGGTGCAGTGTGTAGGATATGGCGGCATCTAGCGGAGAGGCTGCAGATTGCAACCAACTGGAACTTCTCCCCGTGTGCCGTTGTCTCATAGTGGCGCTTCATTCACAGCTTTTACTAATCATCACGGTCTCTGAACATGAGAGACATGCTGGTTTTAAACTGTTCTTTGGGAAGAATTAACATTTAGAAGTCTTACCATTCTTGTTTAGAGGTTCAGGTTAAGCTGTTCACATTCCTCTTTTTGGAGAATGGCGTGTGAAATAACTCCTCCTGTTGAGTCTCTCTCCCCGTCTCTCCCCCGTGTGTGAAAATCTCACTCGAGTCGGGAAGCTTATCGGAATACACATA